GTCATGGTGTAAGCCTAGCTCACAGCAACCTCAAACTCTTGGGCTCAAGCAATCCTTCTGCCTCAGCCTCCCAAGTAGCTGGACTACAGGCATGTGCCACATGCCCAGCTAATTTTCCTATATATTTTTAGTTGGCCAATAAATTTCTTTCCATTTTAGTAGAGACGGGTCCGCTCTTGCTCAGGGTGGTCTCCACTCCTGACCTTGAGTCATCCACCCCCTTGGCCTCCCAGAGTGCCAGGATTAACAGTGTGGACGCCACCAGACCGGCCAACATTCTGTTTTTTGAACAGGTCTTGTGGTCCCTGGGCTGAGGTCATGGGCCACATAGCTCAATGCAATCTGGAATTCTTTTTTTTTCTTTTTTTTTTGAGACCAGGTCCACTTGTTGCCCAAGGCTAAGAGGGAGTGCCATGGCATCAAGCCTGCTCACAGCAACCTCAAACTCCTGGTCTCAAGCACCTACTGCCATCAGCCTCCCAAATAGCTGGACACAGGCCTGCCCACCCCAATGCCGGCTAATTTTCTATATACGTAATAAGTTGCCAATTAATTTTCTTCTATTGATAGTAAGAGACGGGGTCCGCTCCTCTGCTCAAGGCTGGTTTTGAACTCCTGACCTTGAGCAACGCCGCCCGCCTCAGGCCTCCAGAGTGCTAGGATTACAGGAGTGAGCCACCGCGCCGGGCCACAATCTCCCAATTCTTGGGCTCAAGTGATCCTCCTGCCTCAGCCTCCCAAGTAGCTGGGACTACAGGAACGAATGATCATGCCTGGCTAATTTTTCTATTTTTCTGTAAGACGGGCTCTTGTTCATGCTTAGGCTGGTCTTGAACACCTGGCCTCAAGCAATCCTCCCTCTTTGGCCTCTCAGAGTGCTAGGATTACATGTGTGAGCCACCACGCCCTGCCTGGCCTATAATATATTTGGATAGGGTAGGGTATGGTAAATAATTCAAATATGTTTCAAGAATGTCTTGATAATTATTCTAAGATTTTGCATTTCCTATAAAATTCAGAATCATTTTATCATTTTCTACCCAAAAACAAAATACAAAAATGCCTGATCAGATTATTTTTGTTTTTTGAGGCACAGTCTCACTTTGTTACCCAGGTTAGAGTGAGTGCCATGGCATCAGCCTAGCTCACAGCAACCTCACACTCCTGGGCTCAAGAGATCCTCCTGCCTCAGCCTCCTGAGTAACTGGGACTACAGGCATGCGCCACCATGCCCGGCTAATTTTTTCTCTATATATTAGTTGGCCAATTCATTTCTTTCTATTTATAGTAGAGATGGGATCTCGCTCTTGCTCAGGCTGGTTTCGAACTCCTGACCTGGAGCAATCTGCCTGCCTCGGCCTCCCAGAGTGCTAGGATTACAGGCGTGAGCCACCGCGCCCGGCCCCTGATGAGATTTTAACCAGGGTTGTGTTGGATCTAGATCAGTATGGGAAGAACTGCCATTTTTATGTTAACATCAAGTCTTCCAATCCTTCAGTCCCCAAACCCTGGGCCCTGGACAGGCTACACAGCACGAGGTGAGCTAGCAAAGCTTCATCTCTATTTACAGCCATGGATCTCCACTTCCTGTCAGATCAGCATTGGATTCTGCATTATGGTGAGTTGCATAATTATTTCATTATATGTTACAATGTAGTAATAATAGAAATAAAGTGCACAATAAATGTAATATGCTTGCATCATCCCGAAACCATGTCCCTCCCCTGCCCCTGGGGCAACACTGTCTTCCATCAAATGGGTCCTGGCCCCCAAAAGGTTAGGGACCGCTGTTCCAATCTACAACAATGATATACTTCTCCTTTTATTCAGGTTTTCTTTAATCTGTCTTTCACAGACTTTGGTGTAGAGATTGTTCACAATTTCCACTAGAGTATTCCTATGTATTTAAGTTTTTGGATGCTATTATAAATAATATCTGCTTAATTTCCTTTTCTAATTATTTATTACTAATATATAGAAATACAATTAATTTTTTAAATATGTTGGCCGTGTACCTACCTTTTAAATTCCTCATGAATTCTAACAGTTTGCCAGTCTTTTGGTTTTTCTCTGTATCTAGACACGTTGACTGAAAATAAGTTTCATTCTTTCCTTCTAATTTTCCTTCTAAATTTATTTATCTTGCCTTATTGAACTGATGAGAACCTCATGCAATGTTGAATAGAAGTGATAATAGTGAACATCTTTGTCTTGTTACTGAACTGAGGGAAAAAGGGTTAACTATTTCAGTAGTATGATTTTGGTTGTAGGTTTTTTGTAGATTCCCTTTTACCTTTGTCTTGTTACTGAACTGAGGGAAAAAGGGTTAACTATTTCAGTAGTATTTTAGTTGTAGGTTTTTTACCTAATAAAGTTTCCCTCTAGTTTAATAAAAATCAGTTTGCTGAGTTTTTATTATGAACGGTTGTTGAATTTTATCAAATCTTGCTTTTTGTTTATGAGACAGGGTCTTGCTCTATTACCCAGGCAAGAGTGCATCATTATAGCTAACTGCAACCTCAAGCTTCTGGGCTCAAGTGATCCTCCTGCTTCAGCCTCCCCTCTAGTTGACACTACAAGTGAGCACCACCATGCTGGCTAATTTTTCTATTTATTGTAGAGACAGGACCTTGCTCTTGCTCCGGCTGGTCTTGAACTCCTGGCCTCAAGCAATCCTTCTGCCTTGGGCTCCCAAAATGCTAGGATCACAGTCATGAACCACCACTCTATGCCTCAAATCTCTGGGGGTTTTTTTGTTGTTGTTGTTTTGTGGTTTTTTTTTTTTTGAGACAGAGTCTCATTCTGTTGCCCGGGCTAGAGTGCCATGGTGTCAGCCTCGCTCACAGCAACCTCAAACTCCTGGGCTCCAGTGATTCTACTGCCTCAGCCTCCCGAGTAGCTGGGACTACAGGTATGCACCACCATGCCTTGCTAATTTTTTCTATATATTTTTAGTTGTCCAGCTAATTTCTTTCTAATTTTTTAGTAGAGGCAGGTCTCACTCTTGCTCAGGCTGGTCTCGAACTCCCGACCTTGAGCGATCTGTCCGCCTCAGCCTCCCAGAGTGCTAGGATTACAGGCATGAGTCACTGCAACCAATAATCTTTTCTTAATGAATAAAGCTGATGTTTTTACAAACTTAATCTTAAGGAGCACTTACCAATTTCATTAGTTTGCACAGATACCAAAGAGTCTAATATAATTGTACAACTATGTGTCATTTTATTGATTGGTAAGCTATAATGAAACAATGGGCACATTAATCATTTGCAAGGAAACTTCAAACCTGTGTTTGGAGTATCCTTGTTAGGCCTCTGAGGGGAAACTAGATTTTTGCAAACATCTCAAAGCCATATTCAGACCCAAGTCTGAAACAATTAAATGATCTGATTATTAAAAACAAAAATGGTTATAAAGTAATGAGAATGATTTTCATGGACATTCCAAAAATAGTTTTATGCACTGGCATCACTGAAAGCCTGCAGTATTCCTGGTGTCAGTCCCCCAAGAAAAATACATCTGCTCTCATCATTGCTTATATGCCATTTTGTTTCACTGGAAGAGACACAAAAGGAAACATGCTCAAGTATATGTAAGAATATACATGGTGGTCTGAAGGTAATGAGTTATCTACTTGATTGTTTAGTCAGTTACAGATTGAACTGCTTGTTCTACTTTCCCCCTTCTCACTACTGCACTTGACTAGTCTAAAAAAAAAAGAATATGTGATAAAATTGCCATCAGAAATCAGCAATAAGCCAGGCATGGTGGCTCATGCCTGTAATCTCAGCACTTTGGGAGGCCAAGGTCGGAGGATTGCTTGAGCCCAGGAGTTTGAGACCAGCCTGGGCAACACAGCAAGACCTTGTCTCTACAAAAGAGGTTTTTAAAAATTAGCTGGGCATGGTAACATACACCTGTAGTCCTAGCTACTCAGGAGGCTGAGGTGGAAAGATCACTTGAACCCTAGAGTCGGAAGCTGCAGTAAACTATTATTGTGCCACTGCACTCCAGCCTGGGCAGCAGCAGAACCAGATCCTGTATTCTAACCAAAAAAAAGAAAGAAAGAAAGAAAGAAAGAAAGAAAAAGAAACAGAAGCCCCTGTGAGGGATGGACACAACGCTTGAAGCTCTCACTCACTTGGGTGGGGCAAGGGCAATACACGTAACCTAAACGTTTGTACCTCTGTAAAATGCGCTGGGGTAAAAAAACCAAGAGAAACAGAAAGGGTATTTACTAAATACATAGTGATAGGAACACTGATCATCTTGAGATACTTAATCTTCATTAGTGTTTCCCAAATTTCAAGCATGTAGTCTTCTTTCACAGGGGGAAAAAAATAACCCACAATACCTGAAGGTTAACAATATATTTTTATTTTTTTAATATTTGTACCAATTTAAAAATAGGTATACATTCTTTATGCTTATAGTTCCCATAAAATAAAAGCTAGAACATTTATAAGTTAACTTAAAACAAGAAAACCAATAAAATGCAAATTGACCACCTTTATTTAATATAACAAATGATGCTGTTTTGCTCAAATAAAAAGAAAACTGTATTGCTCCAAAGATATAAATCACAAGTATTTGGTTTAACAGCAAAAAGCTGCAGTTTCAGATCCCATTCTGTAAACTATTTCAGTGTTTTTACTTTAATAATGTTGAGAATGCTTGTTCACATAAATGTCTTATTCGAATTGGTACAGATAAATTCAAGTCTTTTTTTTTTTTTTTTTGAGACAGAGTCTTGCTTTGTTGCTCAAGCTAGAGTGAGTGACGTGGTGTCAGCCTAGCTCACAGCAACCTCAAAACTCCTGAGCTCAAGCAATCCTCCTGCCTCAGCCTCCCGAGAAGCTGGGACTACAGGCATGCACCACCATGCCCAGCTAATTTTTTATAAATCTTTTTAGTTGTCCAGCTAATTTCTTTCCATTTTCTTTAGTAGAGATGGGGTCTCACTCTTCCTCAGCTGGTCTTGAACTCCTGAGCTCAAACAATCCACCTGCCTCGCCCTCCCAGAGTGCTAGGATTACAGGCGTGAGCCACCACACCTGGCCTCTTTCTTTCTTCTTACTAGATAATCAGAACAGAATATTAGCCAGATCTGTCAAATGGCAGTTCTCAAATGCCAATTTTAAAAAGGTGTAAATTTATAGACAGAGAAAATTAAAAATTGCCTTTATTAAAATTTGCATTAAGGACTACTGAATCCAGTTAGTTTTAGATTTGGAATAAAAATATTCTTTACTATTTGTTTGCTATTATACTTATTGCTAATGAACTGTTGCAAGTTACTCTGTATAGGAGACTTCCAACACAATGGTATTGACTATTACGGTATAGATTTTTTCTGAGTAATATAAGACCCTGTCATGTCAAAAAACAAATCTGGTATATTATGTGTACAACAGCAGCACACCATCATTTTTCTCATCATCTTCATATAATCTGTGTTCTGCAGCTTCAGCAGTTTTATTTTTTTTCAGATCAGACTTTAATTTTGAATACTTAACACTATTGTTGATGTGCATTTCACTTTCTTCATGTTTACTAAGAATATGTGATAAATGTTGCCAATCTTTGCACCCATTCTCATTTTTTAGTTGATTTTTGCCTTCCCCAAAGAGTTTGCAATATAGACAAAACACAGAATCTTTTGAGGTTGAATAAAGTAACCAGGATCTAGTGGTTTTTTCGCCATTTGGAAAAATTCGTGTATAGTAAGTTTCTGAAAACTTCCTCCCTGTATTGTCTTTTGGAAAGTTAAAATTTCTTACTTGAGGTGGATCATTTTCAACAAGAGTGTCCCGTTGTTTAATATTCAAAATTCGGGGCCATGTACCTGGATCTGTAGAAAGCACAACTGGAATAATGGAGTCTTCTGATTTTTTCTCTTCCAGTTGCTCTTGAAATTTATCAGCTATGGTGGATGTGGAAGAAGGTGGTAAATCCACATTCTGTTTGATCAGTAATGTATCCGTGCTACATTCTGCTGAAATCTGTACCTCTGAAGTCTTTCTTTTTTTTTCTGGTAGTCCCTCTAATTTTTCTAAAAGTGTACCTGACAATCCATGTAATTGTCTTTCGTTTTCTTCTCTAACAGCATTCCTTTTTCTATTTTCTGATGCTGATAATTTTTTTGATTTTGTTTCCATCATCTGGGGAGAAATAGGATAAATTACAATTTTATTTTAGGATTGTTAAAATTAAAAAAACAAAAACAGTGTATATACAAATGCCTAATAAGTACATGAAAAAGATGCTCATTAGCCATCAAAAAAAATGCAAATCAACATGAGAATGACATACCACTTCACACCCACTAGGATGGCTATACTAAATAGACAATGACAACTATTGGCAAAGATGTGGAGAGACTGGAACCTCCATAATATGATGGTAGGAATGTAAAATGGTGCAGCTACTCTGGAAAGCCATTTGGCAGTTCCTGTACAGTTTAAACACAGTTACCATATGATCCAGCAATTCTACTCCATGGTATACACCAAAGAGAAATTAAAATGTATTTCCACAGAAAAACTTACACACAAATGTTCATAGCAAAGTTATTCATAATAACCACAAAGTACACACAACTTAAATGTCCATAACACTTTAATTGATACATTAAAATGTGGTATTACCCATGCAATGAAAACTTTGTGGCAATAAAAGCAAATGAAGTACCAATATGTGCTACAATATGAAAGAACATTGAAAACAGCATACATGAAAAAAGCCCCTTGCAAAGTGCCATATGTTATATATTCCATTACATGAAATGTCCAGAATAGGCAAATTTATAGAAACAGAAGATAAACAATTACCTAGAACTTTGAAGGTGTGGAGGTAGAAGTGGGGACTGTTACTGGGTTTGGAGTTTCTTTCTGGGGTAACTCTAAAATTGACTGTGGTAAATTATAGGGTACATTCATCATATTTAAACAAAGTTGCCGTAAAAGTCACTGAAATTTAATAGCCATTTACAGGTGCGTGCGACCACATGCAGCTAATTTAAAATTTTTTTTGTAGAGATGGGGATCTCCCTATCACGCAGGCTGGTATTGAATTCCTGGTCTCCAGTGATCCTCCTACCTTGCCCTCCCAGAGTGCTAAGATTATAGGCATTAGGCACCACATTTAGCCAATAGCAATTCATTTTAATGGTGAAATTTCCATAAATATTCCAATACATGTGTATACACACACACAGGTATATACACATACATATATATATAATATGGAGAAAGATTGCTAATTCAGCTATACTTAATGCTTTGTACGTCACTCATCATTAGTGGTAAATTATTATTACTTTTAAAATGTTATAGGCCGGGCCCGGTGGCTCACGCCTATAATCCTAGCACTGTTGGAGGCTGAGGTGGCGGATTGCTCGAGGTCAGGAGTTCGAAACCACCCTGAGCAAGAGCAAGACCCCATCTCTACTAAAAAAATAGAAAGAAATTAATTGGTCAACTAATATATATAGAAAAAATTAGCCGGGCGTGGTGGTGCATGCCTGTAGTCCCAGCTACTCGGGAGGCTGAGGCAGCAGGATTGCTTGAGTCCAGGAGTTTGAGGTTGCTGTGAGCTAGGCTGACGCCACGGCACTCACTCTAGCCTGGGCAATAAAGCGAGACTCTGTCTAAAAAAAAAAAAAAAATTAGGCCATTAAATATGAAATGTCCGATTTTGAATCAAAAGTGTGGTTTATTATATGTCAAATGAGAAGCAGTTTAAATTAATGAAATTAGGTGCCTAAACTATTGACAGTTTTGCCCCTCGCCCCCTTTTTGAGACAGAGTCTAGCTCTGTTGCTCAGGCTAGAGTGCCGTGGTGGTCAGCCCAGCTCACAGCAACCTCAAACACCCAGGCTCAAGCTATTCTCTTGCCTCAGCCTGTCCAATAGCTGTGATTACAGGTACTTTCCACCACACCTGGCTAATTTTTCTATTTTTAGTAGAAACAGGGTCTCATTCTTGCTCAGGCTGGTCTCGAACTCCTGAACTCAAGTGATCTTCCTGCTCAGCCTCCCAGTATGCTAGCATTACAAGTGTGAACCACTATACCTGGCCACAGTTTTGCCATTTTAATGGTAATCTGTTTATGCCAGCAGTGAAGAAGCCTGGACAGCAAGTGGTAATGGAATCATGAAAGACGTTTTCCACAGCTTGTTGAGAATTGAATATTTTTCTTTGCAAGAAGTGATCTAAAGCCTGGAAGAAGTGGTAGTCAGTTGGTGCAAGGTGTAGTGAATACGATGGAAGACAGTTTCCAAGTCCGACTTCTGTAGTTTGAACAGTGTTGTTTGTGCAATATGTGGTTGAGTATTGTCTTGCAAGAGGACTAGCCTGTCTCTATTGACCAATCTCAGCTGCTTAATCGCAAGTATCCTCATCATTTTGTCAAATTGGTTGTAGTAGACATCCGCTGTGATGGACTGACCAGGTTTCATGAAGCTATAGTGGATAACACTAGCTGTTCCGGAACACCAGACAGACACCATTAGTTTTTTCTGATGAATATTCAGTTTTGGACTGTGTTTCAGCACTTCATCTTCATCGATCCATGTACTAAACCCTGTGATTGTCAAAAAGAATCCATTTTTCATCACACATAACAATACAGTATAGAAATGGTTCATCTTTGTCTAGTGACAGTAGAGAAAGGCAAGTTTTGAGATGATTTCTCTTCTGATGCTCATTTAATTCATGTGGAATCCATATATCCAGCTTCTTCGCTTTGCCAATTTGTTTCAAATGGTCCAATATTGTTGGAATAGTAACATCAAACCTTGCTGCTAATTCATGTGTAGGTTGAGATGGATTCACTTCCACTACAGTTTTCAGCTCATCATTAATCACCCTGGTCCCAGGTCGACAAAGTGGCTCATTTTCAAGATTCAAGTCACCAGCTTGAGCCTGGGTGTTTGAGGTTGCTGTGAGCTGGGCTGACCACTACGGCACTCTAGCCTGAGCAACAGAGCTAGACTCTGTCTCAAAAAGGGGGCAAGGGGCAAAACTGTCAATAGTTTAGGCACCTAATTTCATTTCAAACCATCGACGTACTGTGTTCATTAGCCTCATCCTTCCTAAACACTCACTGATATTTCGAGCTGTCTGTGCTACAATGGTTCCACAATGGAACTCATATTTGAAAATAAAATGAATTTTTGACTTATCCATGGTTTCACAAAAATTGCTCTAAAAAGAAACTTGAAAGATAATCACAAGCCAAACCATGTGTTTCAAAGACTGAGGATGTACCTTTACAATAAAAATAAAACTAGAAACGTCAAAGTGAAATGTCAGAGATTTCAACTGCCAAACTTAGTACTTAAGGAAATCAAGTATTTCATATTTAATAAATGAGGTTCTAAAATAAATCTGGCTAATGTAAGTTAACAGGGTCAATCTACTGATACCTGATCATTTAAAGCTCATTAAAGAGAATTACCTGTTTATATCTGTTAACACAACTTTGGCAGCAAAATCTCTTCTCCTCGCCTCCAAGCATCAGGATGTTGTTTCCAGTACTTTTACTAGGCATGTACTCTCCACACTGTTCACAGCAGTTCATTGTTAGACCATTGGCCAATCTGTACTTATTAAAGCAATGGTTACTGCACAGTTTATGTGTTACGTTATTTACACTGACTTCGTGGCGAATCTAAAAGAAAAATCAGAATTTATTAACTAAAATAAATGAACCACATTAGTACAGTAGGCAAAGAGATAACTCGCTTCCGCAACATAAATAAAGAACCCTTAATAATATCTTAATGGGGCCGGGTGTGGTGGCTCACGCCTGTAATCCTAGCACTTTGGGAGGCCGAGGCGGGCGGACTGCTCAAGGTCAGGAGTTCGAAACCAGCCTGAGCGAGACCCCGGCTCTACCAAAAATAGAAAAGAAATTCTGACCAGCTAAAAATAATAGAAAAAATAAATTAGCATGCGGGCGTTCGAAACACTACCTGAGCAGAGCAAGAAGGCTCCCATCTCGTATGTCTAAAATGACAATATAAAGAAATTTATAATCCCTTGGTCAAACTGCAACTGGGAGTATATGATCATGAAAGAAGAACAAGTAGAAGGATGCTTGAGGCCAGATGGAGGTTGTGTGCTACCGCGGGGCGGGTGACATCCTCAGAGAACTCTGGCAGGGCACAGGTGAACTCCGTCTCAAAAAAAAAAAAAAAAAGAAAAAAGAAGAGAAGCATCAAGCAGGAAAACAAAAAGAGAATTTAAAGAGATACTAAGTGAAATAACCAATGAGAAGCTACAACTGTAGATTCCAGTATATGACACATTTGGAAAAGGCAAAGCCAAAGACAGTAAAAAAAACGCAGGTGGGCTCCACACATTAATCTCCAGACTTCGGAGCAAGGCGAGCGAGGAGTCGATCCTGCCAGAAGTCAAGAGCCCAGCCTGGGAACATTTATGAGAACCCATCTCTACGCAAAATTTAAAAATAGCCAGCCAGGTATATGGGGTGGCACACCTGTAGCTATCCACTCAGGAGCTCAGGTAGAAGTCATTAGACCTAAGAGTGGAGGCGCAGTGAGCTATGATGATGGCCAGATGCGCGATTCAAGCCTGGGCAACAGAATAAGACCTGCTCACAAAAGATGAGTTCTTGGAGCTATTGGATGCCTGGTATGATGATGAATAGAGTCTCCTCAAGTGCATGTAAGACATGAATTTGAGGCCCTAAACGTGAATAACCAGAGAGGGTCGATGCGTGCTAGACTGAGCGTGCGAGTAGACTTGGCACCCTGGAGGAAGTTCTATGAAGCGATGTATATAAAGTCAGGAGCCAGGAGTCTTTGGATAGATAATCCGCACAGAATCGATTGCTGTGATGACTGCTAGGCTGACGCCATCGGCACTACAATACTCATAAGCTGCTGGGAACAACAGCAAGACTGCTGTCTCAAAAATAAATAATACAGACACAAATAATTTCATAACCACAGAAAGTAAAAATGTCATATATAAGTACTTATAGATTTTTATTTTAATTTTTTAGAGAGTGGGCAAAACCAGGTATCTTAAATTTCAAAGTGTGCACAGCAAATACACTGGAAGAGTAGTGAGAAATGGAAGCGAAGGTACTAAAACTAAACGAACAATAGCCTTACAAGCTCCAAAATTATAAGATGCTAGACTCCGATAGAAAATTCAAGCAAAAATAATAAAAAAATCATGTTATAAAAGGTGAATAATAAGGAATAGAAAGACAACGCATACAAAAAGTACAAATAATTGGTAAGAATACAAGAGTATTTTAAAAGTGATCCACATCAAGAGCTCAACTACCCTCCTATGATCCAGCACAATATGCAATGATTCAATAGAAAATTAAACCATATACTGCATTAATACAGAAAGAAAGATACTTTATAGAGATCTGCATATTTTAATCAACATAACGAGCTTATAAAGAACTAGCTCAACCTGAATTGCTTACAGAAAATAAACGCACGAGAAAATACTATATTTTTAGAAGTGCTAGTTAGAAACACGCGTAATTCCTATAAAAGTAGATTGACTAATTGCCAGTCGAGTCTAGAATTTCTAGATTGAGTATCATTGCTTAGAAGGTTCCGGCCAACTCAATGTTCTTGTACAAAAAACTTTAATATTTTCTAAATAACCTTGACGTTTACTTGCCACCTACTTAGAAAATCATGCTCTCGTTAAGTAACTTGACGACCATAGAAGAACGACAAGGTCATATGCTGCACCGTGATTTTTTGTACTCAAATAAGATATGGCAGTTACATAGAATTTCATAGGTTTGTCATATAAAGACAGAGTCATTATTATATGTGCCAGGCAAATGTAGTGAAAAGATCAACATAACAAGAATATGTCCTGGCGTACTAGCCTAGCTCACAGCACCTCAGAACTCCTCGCGCAAAGTGCAATTCATACCTGCGTCCTCAGATACACCACCCGCTGAGACACCACTATCAGGCATGCTCGACACCCAATGAGCTGAGAGAAAGAGTCTGGTTCTGTCTTAATTCTGAGAGCAATATGGCAGCAATGAAGTGAAAAAAATTAAAAGAGTATGACAATTATCACATTAGTATCTTGAATATTACATACTTATGATTTCTATCTATTTTATGTAGAGTAGACGAGTCCAATCTTATATAAGGAAGCTAGATCAGAGGTACAAAGATCAGATCAGTTAGAAAGCTGTGGTAGTAAGTGTGACCACAGAGATAGTACAGACTTGAGAGAAGCTTAGGAAGTAGAATCTGGATTAGCTAGTAATTGAGAGTTGCTGCTGGAGGCTAAGGAAGGAAAAGAACGATTCAAGGCCAGGCACAGCGGTGCACACCTGTAATACTAGCATTCTGGGAGGCTGAGGCAGGTTGATCGCTTGAGGCCAGAGGTTCAAGACCAGCCTGAGCAAGAGCAAGATCCTGTCTCTACAAATTAGAAAAGTCAGGCACAGTGACATGTGCCTGTAGTCTCAGCTTCTTGGGAGGTCAAGGCAGGTGGATGGCTTGAGTCCAGGAGTTTGAAATTGTACTGAGCTACAATGACGCCACTGCACTCTAGCCCAGACAAAAGAACAAGACCCTGACTCAAAAAAAATTCAGTTTGCATGGGCATCTGTTTGGATGGCAGGGTCATTTACCAATATGGGAAAAACAAGGATAAAAAGCAGGTTTTGGAGGTCCAGTTTTAGATACAGTGAGTTTGAGGTATTGTCATGTGCCACATAACAAAATTTCAGTCAATGGTGGACCACATATATGACAGTAGACCTGTAAGATTATAAAGGAGCTGAAAAATTCCTGTTGCCTAATGATGTTATAGCCGTGCAACCAAGTGTTTGTGATGATGCTGGTGTAAATTATTGTACGAACAGTTGTATAAAAGTATAGCACTTATAGTTTGTGCAGTATATAATACTTGCTAATGAAAAAACAATTATGTTAATGGTTCATGTATTTACTATACTTTTTTTTTTTTTGAGACAGAGTCTTGCTCTGCCACCCTGGCTGGAGTACAGTGGCATCATCGTAGCTCACTGCAACCTCAAACTCCTGGGTTCCTGCCTTAGCTTCCCAAGCAGCTGGGACTATAGGCTTACCCTACCACACTCTGCTAATTTTTCTATTTTTTGTAGAGATGGTGTCTTGCTCTTGCTCAGGCTGATCTCATACTTCTGTCCTCAAGCAATCCTCCCACCTCAGCCTCCCAAAGTGCTAGGATTACAGGTGACAGCTGGGCGTGGTGGCTCACTCCTGCAACACTAGCACTCTGGGAGGCCCAGGCGGGTGGATTGCTCTAGGTCAGGAGTTCGAAACCAGCCTGAGCAAGAGTGAGACCCCATCTCTACTATAAATGGAAAGAAATTAATTGGCCAACTAATATATATAGGAAAAATTAGCCGGGCATGGTGGTGGATGCCTGTAGTCCCAGCTACTCGGGAGGCTGAGGCAGGAGGATTGCTTGAGCCCAGGAGTTTGAGGTTGCTGTGAGCTAGACTGATGCCACGGCACTCACTCTAACAACAAAGTGAGATTCTGTCTCAAAAAAAAAAGGATTACAGGTGAAAGTCACTGTGCCCAGCCCAATAAATTTTTTTTTTTTTTTTAACAAAGACAGGGTCTCACTATGTTGCCCAGTCTGGAGTGCAGTGGCTATTGACAAGTGTGATCATTGGGCACTACAGCCTAGAACACCTGGTCTCAAGTTATCCTCCTGCGTCAGCCTCCCAAGTAGCTGGGACTACATGCACCGCCTAACACACCTGGAATTTATAATTTTTTTAGCTGATTCTTTTTGTGCTTACTTCCAAATCTCATAGTTAATGTTTGTACCACTACTATTTGCTGATTTTTTTCTTCCCAGCTTTAAGTGTCAACTGACTTCTCAATGAGAAAGATGCAAATTTAGCCATCCCTCCTCTCATCACGCTCATCATCTACACTCAACAGCAGACCAGCTGTTCGGTTACAGCATTTCTTGGGGAGGAGAGTGGTTGTGAGGGAGTGTCCTGTGTGCTGCAGGATGTTTAGCAGTACTCCTGGCCTCTATCGGCTAGATTCCAGCAGCACCCTCCAGGCATGACAGTCAAAAATGTTTCCAGACGTTGGCAAATATCCCCAGGTGGACAAAATTACCCCTGGTTGAAAACAACTGGTTTAGATCAGATTTAGTCTTTACATTGTATGACTGTGTATGTTATTCAGCAATAAACCACTAAGCACAAGATTTCAGATTTTTTTCATATGTGTTCACAAGCCTAATGTTTTTCAAAGGAGAGCATTATGCTATTTGTCTAAAGTTTATGAGCTCACTGCCCTTAACAAAAACACAGATATAGGTAAATCATCAGGTAAAAAAATAAAAAAGACCTGGAAAATATTAAGACTTAACATAGTTTTTTTTTTTTTTTTTTTTGTAATAACCATCCTGTGGTAAAGACTTAACATAGTTTTATATCACCAAATTAGAAGCTCATCAGGCTACTTTTGCAATGTGTTTTCTTTGAAAAGGTAACTTAAAATATTAAGTCTTTCTGTATTTTTAAATTTTTCATTATGATTTTCTATAAGCCAAAGCTTTGTTAAATATTAGGTGCAGTATATATAAAGAAAACACATTTAAGCTAAGCCTTTCTTATAAAAATAACATACAAGT